TCTATAGATTGCTTTGGGTAGTATGGATATTTTAATGATATTGATTCTACCAATCCATGAACATGATATGTTCTTCCATCTGTTTATGTCTTCCACTATCTCTTTTTTTAGAGTCCTGTATTTTTCCGCATATAGGTCTTTTACCTCCTTAGTGAAGTTTATTCCTAGGTATCTTAATTTTTTTGATGTGATGGTAAATGGGATTGCTTTTTTGGTCTCTCTTTAAGTTAACTATTGGTGTATAGAAATGCCATGAATTTCTTGGTGTTACTTTTGTATCCTGCTACATTGCCAAATTCATTTATCAACTCTATTAGTTTTTTGATGGAGTCTTTTAGTTTTTTATGTACAATATCATGTCATCTGCAAATAAGGATAATTTTACTTCTTTTCCAATTTGGATGCCTTTTATTTCTTTTCTTGACTAATTGCAATGGCTAATGCTTCCAGTACTATGACAAACAGGAGTGGTGAGAATGGGCATCCCTGTCTTGTTCTTAGGGGAAATGGTTTTAGTTTTTGCCCATTGAATATGATGTTAGCTGTGGGTTTGTCATATATAGCTTTTATTTTGTTGAGGTATGATTCTTCTATTCTCACCTTGTAGAAAGTTTTTTATCAAGAAAGGGTGTTGGATTTTGTCAAATGCTTTTTCTCAATCAATTGATATGACTGTGATTTTTATCTCTCAATTTGTTGGTGTGATGTGTCACGTTTATTGATTTTCAAATATTTTACCATCCTTGCATCCCTGGGATAAATCCTACTTGGTCATGGTGTATGATCTTTCTGATGTACTTCTGGAGCCGATTTGCTAGAATTTTGTTGAGGATTTTGGCATCTATGTTCATGAGGGATATTGGTCTGTAGTTCTCTTAAATTGTGTTGTTTTTATCTGGTTTTGGTGTTAGGGTGATGCTGGCTTCATAGAAGAAGCATGGAAGTGTTCCTTTCTCTTGAATTTTTTGGAATAGTCTGAGGAAGATAGGTTTTAGTTCTTCCTTAAATGTTTGGTAAAACTCCCCTGTGAAGCAATCTGGCCCCAGGCTTTTTATATATATATATATATATATATATATATATATATATTTATTTTATTGATTTTTTACAGAGAGGAAGGGAGGATAAAGAGTTAGAAACATCAATTAAAGAGAATTATCGATCAGCTGCCTTTTGCACACACCCCATTGGGGATATGCCCGTAAGCCAGGTACATGCCCTTGACTGGAATCCAACCTGGGACCTTCCAGTCCGCAAGCCAACGCTCTATCCACTGAGCCAAACCTGTTTTGACTGGCCCCGGGCTTTTATTTGACGGAAGCTTTTTGATGACTGCTTCAATTTCTTCCATAGTTATTGGCCTGTTGAGCTGTTTGATTCTTCCTGATTGAATTTTGGATAGTTATATTTTTCTAGGAATATGTCCATTTCCTCCAGGTTGTCCAGTTCATTGGAATAGAGTTTTTCGCAGTATTTTTTTACAATCCTTTGTATTTTGATGGTGTCTGTTGTTATTTCACCTCTTTCACATCTGATTTTGTTTATTTGGGTCCTCTCTCTTTGTTTCTTGGTTAGCCTGGCTAGAGGTTCATCAATCTTGTTTATACTTTCAAAGAACCAGCTCTTGGTTTTGATGAACTTTTGTATTTTTATTTTGGTCCCTATGTCATTTATCTCTGCTCTGATTTTTATTATTTCATCCCTTCTGCTTACACTGGGCTTTTCTTGTTGCTCTCTAACTCTTTGAGTGGAAGGTTTAGGTAATTTATTACCATTCTTGTTTTTTGCAGTAGGCTTATAGAACTTGAATTTCCCTCTCAAGACTGCTTTCACTGTGTCCCATAGATTTTGGATTGTTTTGTCATCTGTTTCCATGATGCTTTTTATTTCTTCCTTGATCTCTCTGGTAACCCAGTCATTTTTTAGTAGCATGGTGTTTAGTCTCCATGAGTTTGATTTCTTTGGATTGTTTTTATTGTAGTTGACTTCCAGTTTTATGCCACTATGATCTGAGAAGATGCTTAATATGATTTCTATCTTCTTTTTTTTAATCAAACTTTATTGTTCATATTACTACAAAAGTTCCTCATTTTTCCCCCCTCCACCCCACCGTCTGCCCTTTCCCCACCCCCCATTGTCCTTGTCCATAGGTACACAGTTTATGTTCAGTCTCTTTCCCCCATCCAACACTCCTCTTTTGTCAGTCCACTCCCCTCCCGTATCTCTGATTCTATTAAAATCAATAGTTAATATTGTTCATCAGGTTTTTTAATTTCCTTGTTTTTTTTTTAATTAATAAATTTTTATATTTTTAAGAATAAATTTTAAAATCTAATAATTTTAAACCTTGTTTTTTCTGCCCTGGGAACTGAGAAGCAAACTTGTTTACATGTAAACTTGCCCTTAGGCTATCAAAAGGCATAGCCATTCAAATGTAAATGAACACATTGTTTAAAGATAGCTGCTGGCTGGAATTGGATTACCTGTTCTGGGTGGAAAGGGCTTGTCCTCCCATTTCTACATTAAAATTAAGGTGTTAGCTTTAAAACCTCTTTTTGGCAAGAGACCTTAAACTTTCAGAACTTTAAATTTTTCAGGTAGTAAATCAATTACCATATTTTCCGGCGTATAAGATGACTTTTGAAACAAAAAAAAGTCAACCAAAAATCGGGGGCAAAAGACCAAAATTGCACAAAAATTACCTGCAGATCTTGACGGCAAAGTACCGTATTTTTCGGACCATAAGACGCTCCGGACCATAAGACAGCACCAGTTTTTAGAGAAGGGAAATGAAGAAAAAAAATTCTAAAACAAATAGTGTCCTAAAATATTTTATGTGCATTAAAACCCAACATCACAGTCATAAACACATGTAATCAACCCTGTAAAATAAAGAGCAGCATTTAGAACCATTTTAGAGCCGGGCAAGCATACAGAGACCACACAGAGCCGGGCAAGTAAAAAAAGTTTTTTTTTAAAGTATATGTGTAGGCTATATTTGGACCATAAGACGCAGGGACTTTTCCCCCCCACTTCTGGGGGGGAAAAAGTGCGTCTTATGGTCCGAAAAATACGGTAAGTCTTTTCTTTGAAGTGGGGTGTAGTCTTATACAGCGAATATAGGCCTAAACCTATATTTTAACTAAAACTAGGGGGTCGTCTTATATGCTGGAAAATACGGTACTTAGCATTTTCTCAAATCAATAATACCTCCACATGCCCAAGGATACACTTCACACAAAAGACACTTCCAAATAGATCAACCAACCTCATCCAGACCCCACACAAGGCACTCACAGATCAACACCTCAGCGCTACAACAACTCAACACATCCAGATGTAAGCCTTCATCACTTGATTCAGCAGACCCTCAAGTTCCCCCAAAAGTTTCCAGCCATGTCTGAGAAGCAGCCCTGGGGCATGAACAGGCGAGCTGCAAGCTGTTACGGGCCCAGCTACTCTGGGCCTGGCCGCTGTTGCTCTGGGCCTGGCCTCTGTTGCTCCGGGCCCAGCTGCTCCAGGCCTGGATGCTGCTGCTCTGGTCCTAGCTGCTCCCGGCCTGGCTGCTCCGCTCCCAGCTACTCCGGGCCTGCCCGTTGCTGCTCTGGGCCTGGGTGCTGCTGCTGTAATGTGCCTTAGCGTCGGTCTCTTGGTGTTATTTTTGTTTGGGACTCTGAGCTTCTTGGATTTGTGTGGGTTTTTTCTTCTCTATCTCAGGGAAGTTTTCTGTCATTATTTCTTCGCACAGGCTTTCTATTTCTTGTTCAGTTTTCTCTCCTTTTGGAACCCCTATTATTCTAATATTGTTTCGTTTCATGTTGTCACAAAGTTCCCTTAGGCTCTCCTCCTGCTTTTTAAATTTTTTTTTCTAGAAGCTGCTCTACTTGGGTATTTTCCTCCATAATGCCTTCTAGCTCACTGGTGCAGTCCTCTGCTACTTCTAATCTACTCTTGATGCTTTCTATTGAGTTCTTTACAGCATCAATGTTATTTTTCATTTTGTCTTTCTTTTTTTTTTTTTTTTTTAAGGGTAGTTTGAATTTATTAACAAACTAGAGAAAACAGCACACAATGACTATGAGAAGCCAAGAAAGATGGGTGGGATTCACTTTGCCTGACTCTCCTGTGCAGCCGGAATAGACCCTCCTGGTCCTCACGGACTGTGCCCCTTAGAGGATGGAACGGGGCCCTGCAGGGAGCATAGTTCTCTGCTTCTGCGTGATGGGTGGGACTCTACCCCCCACTGGAGGATCATAGAACCGCACAGCTAAGATCCAGAAAACAGAGCTCTTTTCCTAATTTGCAGCTATACCTTTTCACACCTTTAGATTAATTTTCAATTTTTGAAATAGCACGTCTAGAGACAGATTGCAAGCCCATCCCACCAGAGGCTATTGTTCTGTTCTTTGATGCTTAATAGTCTAGATCCAAGTGGCTCCCTCTCACACTCTGAAGAGAAGACCCTACATTAGCATCTTCAAAGTCATGAACATACATTGTTTCATTTGATCCTCACAGCAGCTCAGGGAGGGAGGCAGGCAGGCGGGCAGGCGGGCGGGCAGGCAGTATCCAGAGGATGGCGTCACAACTGGTAGAGCTGGGAAACCAAACCATGTCCTCTGCCTTCTGGGCCAGGGCTCCTTCTACTCCACAGGTGAACTGAGCTCTCCTTGATGAGCAGGGCAGCCTTTCTGCTTAGCATAGAACAGTGGTCAGCTAACTGCGACTCATGAGCCCCATGCGGCCCTTTGGCCCCTTGAGTGTGACTCTTCGACAAAATACCACATTTGGGTGTGCATGTACAGTGGGATTGAAACTTCGTGGCCCATGTGCCAAAGTCGGTTTTCGGCTCTCAAGAGATATTTCAATCGTCATACTGTTGATATTTGGCTCTGTTGACTAATGATTTTGCCTACCATTGGCATAGAAGACATGTCCTTTGGGTTCGCAAACAAAGGTGATTTAAATTCCAGACCTAACCAGCAAGATCAGGGGACAAACACTCCTGAGCTCAATTCAGCATCCACATCAGAGGGACGAAAAAGACAGAACATGGGCATCTTTGACGAGGGTTTCTTCCCGTTTAATTGGCTCTCACCCAGACCACACTGGAGGCTGTACCCGGAACGCAGCAAAGTCCAGGAGAAAGGAAGATATTCAGAGGACTTTCTCATCTAGCAATTTATTGATTGCTTCACACATCCTCTTGAAGCTGGATCTATAGTTTCCATCCAGACTATAAAGGGTAGAGAGGAACTCCACGTCAGCAAAGTGGTTGAAGACATGGTTGATGCGCCCATGGGTCCTGGGGGTCAGGTGTTGCTGCACCAATTCCTGCACCAGGTCCTTGCACTCGTGCAGGAGCTTGGAGAGCACATTCCTATCGAAGGTGTATTCCACCTCATAGAAGCTGACGATAGTCATGGTGGTCTGGTTCAGCTTCTTCCTGAACTTCTCCATGATAGTCACCTCCTTCTGGTTGAACTGGTTGTTCTGGTAGAGCACATGTGTCAAACACAAGGCCCGCGGGCCAAATCCGTCCCGCCAGGCCTTGCAATGTGGCCCACACCGCGCTGTCATCACTGCACTCCGCTGCGTTTCCATCACATTGACAGTTTATGACTGTTCAGTAAACCATTCGGCCCGCGATTTAGGCTGGATTTTAGATTTTGGCCCCTTCTCTGATTGAGTTCGACACCCCTATGGTAGAGGATCCCAATTTTGATGGCCACCTTGATTAAGTCTTTCATGATCTTGTGGGCTTCCTTCTTGTTGTGGGTGTGCTCTTTGGTGACTTTGTAGAGCTCATCAAAGATCTCACTGCTGGTGTCATCGATCAGCATGTTGGCCACAGTCTTGCTGGCTATTTTGCTCAGAATCTTCTGGGCTTGAAGGGCAAAACTCTTGGAACTAAAGAAATCGGGACCTGCAGTGGTGGTGGGCTCACCCTCACTCTGCTCGCCAGAATCCGAATCCATGCTGCGGGCTGCGGGCTGGGCGTCCACAGTCTCCTGCCCGTCTGCGGGGCGCTGGGAGCCGGCGGGCATCCTGGCCCGGGTTGTCGGGCGCAGGTGGTGCAGTCACCCGGAGGCACAGCCCAGGAGGCATGGGCTGGGCTGGCACGGCGGCTGCAGCTGCGACCAGGAGGCGACTCCCCACTCCTGGCGCCCCGGCCAGTGCCTGCGCAAGGGGAGCCTATTTTTCTTTTTTCCTTGGTTCTTCTTCACTTCCTCTTGGTTTTTACTCATATTGTCGAATTTGTCTTCCATTCTTTTCAGCCACCTTATGACCATTTCTCTGAATTCTTTCTCTGATAGGTTGCTTGCCTCTATTTCATTTATTTCCTTTTCTGGTGATTCCTGCTTTTCTTTCATATGCGGGCTGTTTCTTTGTCTCTCCATAGTCTCTCGTTTCCGGGTGCCTAGTTATGTAGTTCTCTCTCTCCTTATCCCAGGTGAAATCTGACCTTTCCGTGTTGGAGTGTAGAACTCCTGTGAATCCAAGTGTTTGCACCAATTGGGGACTGGTATTCTGAGGCTTGCAGCTTTTCGGTGGTTGCCATAGTTGTAGATTTTCAGGCTTCCAATAAGACCCACTTTCCCCTTCAAGATGGCATGGTCTGATGAGTGTTTCTTGTACATTTTTTATTTTACTAGATACCAAAAACTAATTTCCAGGGTGGTGAAATCACCCTATTTTTCTACTCTCTGGTTGAAGAGATAAACTAGAGTAAGTGGTAAAGAATATACAATAAGAAGCAGAAAGTTTTAAATCAGTTGAAAGATTAATTTTGTCTTGGACTAGTAGAGAAGTCCCGTGAAGTTTTATCTCATCAGGGCTATTGAAGCCTGTCATTTCTTATTTTAGGAGAGTACAAGGGTATTGCAAGTTTGCAAAAACAGCTTGAGCAAAGAAAGCAGTTATTAAAAGTGCCTTTACAATTCTTTAGCATATTTGAGGGCTCGAGTGTGAAGACGACGTTAAGGGACTGTGTGATTGGCAAGCTGAGAGGAGTGCCTAAGCAGTGAGGCCATTGCAGAGGACTGGAACAGCAAAGGCCTTGTGGGTATTGGAGTATGGAGAACTAGTGTGGAAGAGCCAGTGTACTAGCTCTGCCTTTGCAAGATCTGATAAGAATGTGAACTAGAACAGTGAGTGTGAGGCTGGACGGGAAGAGAAGATGGGAGAGTCTATGTAATAATACTCAGAGATGTCCTATGGCACACCAGTTCTCTATAGGTAGCCCAAATCCATCCAACCTCCAAATCTGTAATATTTACACAGATTGTACATTCCAAAAGGAGGAACACTTACAGTATCATAGCCATGTGGACAGTCAGTATTCTTAGGATATTACTTCTCAGATGGGTGGCATGGATTGCCTAGCCTACAGGTTCTACAAGGCACAGAGTAAGCATGTGCATTCTCACCAGGAATGTTAGTTGAATCAGTAGTACATCATTTACAATAGTGCTTTTTGTAATTAAGCAAGCATGGCTATATGAGGAAGATCAAAATTCACAAAGGAAAAAAAAATATTCACAAAGGAGTTTAGCCCCTAAAATAAGAATGTTAAAGAAGTTTTGTGCATGGGCTATATTCTCCTGTGGGCATTACCCTGTTTCCCCGAAAATAAGACAGTGTCTTATATTAATTTTTTCTCCCAAAATTGTGCTAGGTCTTATTTTCAGGGGATGTTTTATCTTTCCATACACTAGGTCTTATTTTCAGAGGAGGTCTTATTTTTGGGGAAATACGGTAGATCACTCTCATATGCTTTTACTCTTGTACTTATATAAAAGTTTAGGAAGCCAGACAGATGCTTCAGTGGTGAAGATGTAGTCTTTTTTTTTTTTTTTTGGGGGGGGGGGGGTGACATGTCTGTAGACACTAATCATTGTATTAAGTGTCTTTGGAACAGAGGAGAGTTATCTTGACACCTCTTGGCAGCAACGGGACCCACCATAAACCTTCCCAGATAAAGAGAAAGTTCTGAAGTAAGTCAAACAGGAAAGAGTTCTTAGGCACAATGAACAGAATTAAAGAGGCATAAGCCTGAGGCATGTTTGTGCAGCTGGAGTGGAGACTGGAAAGTTGAAAGGCAAAAAATGGAACTGGATCATGAAGGTGCTTAAAAGAAAAAGTGTAATTGTGATAAATAACCTGACAATGCTTTGCACAGAGATATGTGAAGTAGTTTTTAGTAATTGTCCATTGGAAAATGGTAGAATAGAACTCAGCATGTTTTTCTGTTTAATGTGAATGGAAGCAGCAGGTGCCTGTGTGTCAGACAGACAGTGCAGATGATGAGGCAGGTCTGGAGCATCACACAGGATTCTTAGCATCTGGAGAAAAACCTTCCCAACCAGAAGCATTTGCATTCAGTCACGGTGTTCGTTTGTTTTTAGTAATTGGCCAAATAAAATATATGCTATCTGATTCTGTCCAAAAGCTACAAGTTTACAGTTTTCCCTTTAAATTTCCTGGCTATTTGTTATCATCTTTCTTCCATTAACTATATTGCTTTCTTGTTATATACACAAGGAATCTTTACAAATCATAATAATGGAAATCTAAGGCAACAAAAAGGGAAGAGGGCCAAGTCAGCCAGAAAGTTTGAAGGAAAGAAACAGTCTTATTTCTTCTCTTTTCCATGTGCTTTTATTTTCTCAGGTTTCTTTTCCAAGAGTGATATATGCACACACACACACACACACACACATACATACATACACACACACACACACACACACACACACATATATATATATATATTTTAATTGGTATATCTTGACTAATATTTTTAAATGCTATTAGTGCTATACTAGAATGTAATTTAAAAATAATTATTCTGGGACTTGTAAAGAGATTTTGTGAAACCTATGTCTAAAAAGAATAAAATTTTTATTTTAAGGCAAAAAATGGAACTGGATCATGAAGGTGCTTAAAAGAAAAAGTGTAATTGTGATAAATAACCTGACAATGCTTTGCACAGGGATATGTGAAGTAGTTTTTAGTAATTGTCCATTGGAAAATGGTAGAATAGAACTCAGCATGTTTTTCTGTTTAATGTGAATGGAAGCAGCAGGTGCCTGTGTGTCAGACAGACAGTGCAGATGATGACGTTAAGTTTAAAAGATGACGTTATTAAGTCAAAGCTTAATTCTGTATTCACTTAAAACTGTCTGCAAATTTAAGGGCGTTGGCACTCTTGTAACTTGGCCAAATGGAAATAAAGACCTTTTATGTGTTGGAAAAAACATGGTTTCTTGGAAAGATTAACTGAAAATTAGAACTTGTGGGCTTCTACTTTGTTGTTGTATAAGGATAGATTTTTCTTAATAATATGTGTTCTTTCAGACAATTGGTGCAACCTTTGCAGCCATGATTGGAGCTGGAATGTTGGTACAATCAATACCTTATGACCGGAGCCCAGGCTCAAAGCATCTTGCTTGGTTACTGCACTCTGGTATGTTCTAGTTTTCAGTTGTTATTAAATAGATCTTTAATACTACCTTTTAAGTGGCTTTTCACAACCACACATGCTTTGTACATAATTTAGTTAAGCTTCATGTTTAGAAAAATTTGGTAATTTTCTACTTACCTCTGTTTATATACTATTATAAGACCATGGAAATCCCCAGTACTAATCTTGCCTCCTGTATAGTCTAATGCAGTGGTTGGCAAGCTGTGGCTCAAGAGCTACATGAGGCTCTTGACCCCTTGAGTTTTTAGCAAAAGCCAGCTTAGGTGTACTCTAATTAAGTTAATAACAGTGTACCTACTTATATAGTTTAAGTTTAAAAAATTTGGCTCTCAAAAGAAATTTCAGTCATTGTACTGTTGATACTTGGCTCTGTTGACTAATGAGTTTGCCAACCACTGGCCTAGTACATGCAGAGATTTTCTTTTCTGTGTTTTATCTAATAACCAAGATGATTTTATTTATTTCTTTTTAAAATATATTTTATTGATTTTTTACGGAGAGGGATAGAGAGTTAGAAACATCGATGAGAGAGAATCATTGATCAGCTGCTTCTTGCACAACTCCTACTGGGGATGTGCCCGCAACCAAGGTACATGCCCTTGATTGGAATCGAACTTGGGACCTTTCAGTCCACAGGCCGACGCTCTATCCACTGAGCCAAACCGGTTTCGGCAACCAGGAGGATTTTAGACCTGATACCCATCACAATATATGTTTGTGACTAATGCATTTAGGGCAGTTCTTGGCACAAGGTAACATTGGGCAGGGTAAAGGCTGTCAGCCTTGCTATTGCAGGGCAGTTTTCATATCCTTGTAGGTATATTCTGTGAATTTTTTCTTAATTGTTGCAAAACAAATATTTGAAAGTTCAGACAAAGTTTCCTGGCATAGTTTGTTTCTAGGTTGAATAAAGAGCCAACCAGATCGAGAAACAAAAATGCTTCCTTGGTGCATGTTCTCTACCACAATGCAAGACATTTTATAAGCATTTCCCTGAAACTTCAGGGAGACATACTGGGAAGTGTTCTAGCATGGTTAGTAAATGGAAACCAGGTTTTTGGCACTCAATCACAACTTGGGGTGAAATATGTCATTTATGTTATTCATATGCTGTCTTTATTTTGGTAACTAGGAGACAGCATGATTTCCCAACCTTGTTTTCAAGACTCTTTGGTGTTAGGTTACTCAATCATAGATGATCTCCTTGGAGACTTGCAGGACAAATCACTGTTTGAGAGGGAGATGGTCCCTTTTCTTCTATTACCAATGACTTGCTTTTAGAAAAAAAAGTATTTAGAAGAATAGACTGTGCATTTGTTAATAAGACTTTCATTGAATCACCAAAATTCTCGCCATTTGAATTTTCACATTTACATTTATGTTTCTAAATATCTAGGCTACTGAGTAGTTTTAGCAGGCACCTGTTTCCCATTTTAGACAATGAGTTCTTTGAGGAAACAGGGTTAGTGTCTTTTTATCTAGGATAAATAGGCAGGAGGCAGCCAATCAGTGGCTCTCATCATTGATTTCCCTCCTCTTCCCCTCTAACTCCTTCTCTCCCCTCTTGGTCTCTTAAGTCACTTGTTAAATTGAATTAAGCATTTCTACCTGCTTTGCTTACAAAACACCTTTTAATCTGATGTTATTGTAGCATATAAGTTAT